CCTTTGTCCTTCCAACCACAGGGCGCGTGGCGCGCTTAGCCCTCAGCCTAAACATCTAAAAACCTGATTGGGCGGTTCGGTTCCCGGTCGGCGCACAGGCCCAGGTTGGGGGCTCGATCCCCGGTGGGGGACGTGCAGGAGGCAGCCCGTCCATGATTCTCTCTCATCATGGATGCTTCTCTCCCTCTCCCTTCCTCTCTCTGAAGTCAATAAAAATATATATATTTAAAAACAATAAAAAAAAATTAAAAATGACCGGGAATAGCATTTTCATCTGGATACAAAGAACGCTCAGTTGTGGCAAACAGAAGGCAGAATCAGCACAAGACAAACCAGACCCATTTGTAAGGATTCTCACATGGGAAGAACCTGTTTCATTTTCCGAAGACAAAAGCGAGCCGTGCTCAGCGGCCAGCCCAACGAGGGGACGGGGTTTAGATCCAAGTAGGAAGTGAGAGAAAATAGGAGCGCCTGTCAATCACCGTGAACAAACCCCAAAACAAAACAGGACAAAACAAAACCCCCAAATCCGTGTAAGAGATGGACGAGGCCGCTGTTCAGGGTTTGTGCCCTCCCAGACGGAAGATCCCTGAACGTCTGGCTGACCCAGGTGCCCTAAAAAGATCGCTAATGAATGAATAAATGAATTAACTAATAATATATTTTTATTGATCCCAGAGAGGAAGGGAGAGAGAGAAAAACATCAATGATGAGAGATCGGCTGCCTCCTGCGTGCCCCCCACCGGGGATGGGGCCCACCATCCGGGCTGTGCCCTGACCGGGAATCGAACCCGGACCTCCGGGGTCACAGGTCGCGCTCAGCCCCTGAGCCACGTGGGCCGGGAACGTGACTTTAGAGACGGAGGAGCGGGTCGGTCCGGCCGCGGGTGACAGCTCTTCCCGTGCCGCCCGCCCCCAGATGACTATGGCGACCGGGGCCGGCTGTCCCCCGACTTCTACGGAGAGTCCGAGACCGACCCCGGCGCCGAGGAGCCCCCGGCGCGCATCTTCGTGGCCCTGTTCGACTACGACCCGCTGAGCATGTCCCCGAACCCCGACGCCGCCGAGGAGGAGCTGCCCTTCAAGGAGGGACAGATCATCAAGGTGCCGCGGCCGCGTCCCCACCGTCACCCCGCCCCCCGCCCGCGTCCCCCATCATCGCCCCCGACATCACCCCCCATCATCATCCCACCGTCACCCCCGCGTCCCCGCCATCACCCCCGGCCATCAGGGGGCGGAGCGAGCCCGCGGGCAGGGTGGGGGCGGGGAAAGTTGGGGGACAGGGTCCTGCCGACAGCGAGGCCCGGGCAGGACGCTGGTGCCACCGGAGGGTCCCGTGGTCCCGTCACACCCCGTCCCACGGCCGGACTCCGCCCTCGCAGGCCCCGCGAGTCCAGCTGGTCCTCCGGGCGCGCTCCCCCCACCCCAGGGCATCGTCGAAGGCACAGGGTATAACCCGTTGTTTTACTGTGTGACCGAGGCCTTCGGAGCCAGCCAATCACCTCACTGTAGGCAGGTGACGTAATTCTGAGCCAGCCAATCACCTCACTGTAGGCAGGTGACGTAATTCTGAGCCAGCCAATCACCGCACTGTAGGCGGTGACGTAACTCTGAGCCAGCCAATCACCGCACTGTAGGCAGGTGACGTAATTCTGAGCCAGCCAATCACCGCACTGTAGGCGGTGACGTAACTCTGAGCCAGCCAATCACCGCACTGTAGGCGGTGACGTAACTCTGAGCCAGCCAATCACCTCACTGTAGGCGGTGACGTAACTCTGAGCCAGCCACTCACCTCACTGTAAGCGGGTGATGTAACTCTGAGCCAGCCAATCACCTCACTGTAGGCGGGTGACGTAACTCTGAGCCAGCCAATCACCTCACTGTAGGCGGTGACGTAACTCTGAGCCAGCCACTCACAAGGCCTCGGCTTCTTCCCCGGCCCCAGGTCTACGGCGACAAGGACGCGGACGGCTTCTACCGCGGGGAGACGTGCGCCCGGTCCGGCCTCATCCCCTGCAACATGGTGTCCGAGATCCAGGCCGAGGACGAGGAGATGATGGAGCAGCTCCTGCGACAGGGCTTCCTGCCGCTCAGCACGCCCGTGGAGAGGACGGGTGAGCCGCCCGCCCGCCCGGGACCCGTCCTTCCTCAGCCTCACGGTCCGCCTCCCCGGGAACCAGCCGCGCGGAGCGTTGTCGTTCCCTCTGCAGTGCGTGCGTGTGCATGTGTGTGTGCATGTGTGTGCGCGTGTGCGTGCATGTGCGTGTGTGCGCGCCTGTGTGTGCGCACGCTTGTATGTGTGTGCCTGTGTGAGTGTGCGCATGTGTGTGCACGTGCCTGTGTGCATGTGTGTGCACGTGCCTGTGTGCATGTGTGTGCACGTGCCTGTGTGTGTGCACGTGTGTGTGCCTGTGTGCACGTGTGCGTGCGTGCATGTGTGTGCACTCGCGCGTGTGCGTGCGCTTTAAATATATTTCTATGAATGTCAGAGAGGAAGGGAGAGGGAGAGAGAGAAACATCCATGATGAGAGAGAGTCATGGACCGGCTGCCTCCTGCACGCCCCCCACTGGGGATGGAGCCCGCGACCCGGGCCTGTGCTCTTGACCTGAACGGAACCCTGACCTCCCGGTTCAGAGGCCGACGCTCAACCCCTGAGCCCCGCTGCCTGGGCTGCACGTGTTTGGTTTTGAGGAAACAGCCCCAGGTTTCACAGAGGTGCTCGCTTGTTCTAAGTTAAAACAAAACCTAGGAAGCCGGGCGACGGGCCCAGGGCCGCGGTTGTCCCGGGCTGTGAGCCTGGGCCTGGTGGGGGCGGCGTCCGGCCCGTTGCCACGGTGACCAGGACGGCCCACGCTTAGGCAGGATCTGATGGCTTCCTTCTCCCCGTCAGCAGAGAGGAGCAGGCGAGGTGGCCGGCAGCAGGCGGTGTCCACGCGCAGGATGGTGGCCTTGTATGACTACGACCCCAGAGAGAGCTCGCCCAACATCGACGTCGAGGTGCCCGCTGCCCCCCCCCCCCGCCCTTCCCGCGGGCGTCCCGGGCACCCCCAGGACCCGGACCCTCCAGGGAGCGGCCCCAGAGCAGTCAGTGGCCGACAGCAGGCCAGGCGGCCCCTCCCTGCAGCTCAGGGCGCAGCAGCACCCAGTGGGGGTGCCCAGTAGTGTCACCCCGAGGAGAGGGCAGAGGACAGGCGAGGCGGGCAGGCCCCAAGTCCACGGCGGGAGCGGCTGGAGCTCTGCCCAGGGCCTGCACGGCCGTTCCTGCTGATGAGGGACCAGAGTGAGGGCCCCGTGCGCAGAGCCCTGAGCAGGTTTGACCTACGATGCCTGGCGGCCTCGCCCCATTTTCATGTTGGTTTGTTTGTTTAAACATATTTTTATTGATTTCAGAGAAGAAGGGAGAGGGAGAGAGAGAAACATCAATGACGAGAGAATCATTGATCGGCTGCCTCCTGCCCGCCTCCTACTGGGGCTTGAGCCGGCAGCCCAGGCCTGTGCCCTGACCGGGAATCGAACTGTGACCTCCTGGTTCATAGGTCGGCGCTCACCACTGAGCCACGCTGGCTGGGTATTTAGAAATGCACTTTTAAAAGTGCATTTTCTGGCACCTCCACCCACCAGGCTGGTTGGCCTGTTCCCAGCCTGGAGCCTCCCCCCACCCCTGTACCCCCCCCCCCCCCGGCCGAGGAAATAGACATTTCATTAATAATTGAGGACAGTCTCTCAGACGCAGCGGGAGAGCATTTACGTAAAGGTCCAGGCGCTGCGGGCTGCGGGGAGCAGTGCCCCGATGCCCAGGTGCTAACGTTAAGGACCTGGCGGGTGTGAGGCCGTGGCCGGCGCTGGATTCTGGCCGGAACCTGGGAGCCCAGTGCTTCCCTGGGGGTGGCCTGCGTTGCCGTGGTCACTCTTTCTAAGAGGCCGAGCACGGAGGCCCTTGTCGGCTCTCTGTCTTTCTTCCTCCTTGGCCTGAAGGGGTAGGTTAGTACCCAAATCGTAGGAAAATGAGACAATGAAAGAAATCGTGAAGAGGTTCTTTGAGAAAACGACTTTCCGCGGGACCCGCCACTCACGGCGCCCTCACCCCCAGGCCGAGCTCACCTTCTGCACCGGGGACATCATCTGCGTCCTTGGGGACATCGACGAGGACGGCTTCTACTACGTGAGTGAAGCAGCCAGACACACAGTCGGTGGTTGGCGGGCGCATCGGCCTGTGCTGTCCGCTCGCTCCCTGGGGAGGGAGCCAGGGGTGGACGGGCTGGGCCCGGCGGGTTCCCACAGCGGCTGCCCCAGACCAGGAGGAGGCCCTCCCTGCCCTAAGGCTGCTCCTTTATTTATTTATATGTGTGTGTGTGTATATATATATATATTTAGAGAGAGGAATTGGGAGAGAGAGAGAGAGAGACATCAATGATGAGAGTGAATCATGGATCGGCTGCCTCCTGCACGCCCCGCACTGGGGATCAAGCCTGCAACCCGGGCCTGTGCCCTGACCGGGAATCGAACCCTGACCTCCTGGTTCATAGGTCGAGGCTCAACCACTGGGCCTCGCTGGCCGGGCCAGGGGCGGCGGCTCCTTTGGTGGGGGAGGGGGGAGGAGGGAGGGGAGTAAGGGGTCTGTGCCTCGCCTGTCCCAGGGGGAGCTCAATGGGCAGAAGGGCCTGGTGCCGTCCAACTTCCTGGAAGAAGTGCCTGACGACGTAGAGGTCTACCTCTCGGACGCCCCGGCCCACCGCCCCCAGGACGCGCCCGCGCGCTCCAAGGCCAAACGGGTAAGCAGCCACCCCACGTGTCCGGCGCCCCTGCCCCGCCACCCGCGCTATCACGTGTGGTCCCCGCCTCGAGGGCCGGAAGCACACGCCCCGAGCGTGTCCTCGCCCTCCCCTCCCACGGGGGCGTCCTGAGCCTGCTGACCTCTGACCCTGACGTCTATTTCCCCAAAAGGGACATTTTCCATCCCGACCGGCTGCCTCTGCTCACAAGGGGACCCCCCGCGTGACAGACGCACACCCGGCCGTGGCGAGGGCGAGGGCGAGGGCGAGGGCGAGGGGCTGGCCCGGCCTGAGGCTCAGGCCGCGGCCGAGGGTCGCGGTCCCCCCCAGAGAGCAGACGCCCGTGGCTCCTGGAGGGCCGGAGGACATCCACGTGTCGCGCCTCATTTTGTTTTGCGTCATCGCTGCGGGTTCTCGTTCTGTTTTTACATCATCTATTCTTATTCCTTCGCTCATCTGCTTGGGAACAGAAGAAGAGTGTGCATTTCACACCTTAATCAGGCAAAGTAGCCTTCACGTAAGTGAGCAGCTGAAGATACCTAGACGCCCCGAGCCGCCCAGCGGGCTCCGCGGTGGACGCCGGGGTCACGGGGCCGAGAAAGAAATCTGTCCCCTGACGACCACGGGCCTCGGTTGTAAAGCAGCCGAAGGCGTGGCGGGCTGAGCCGGGCGACCATCCCCCGCGGTTCCCGCGGAGGCCAGCAGGGGGCATGTTTCCCGCGAGCCCGTGTCTCCCCCGCGGCTGCGTGTTGCATTGTCAGCCACTCTCGGAAAAGCACAACCTCGCCAACGTGTTTACGGCAGGTTCCTTATATAAATTTTAAAAAATATATATTTTTATTGACTTCAGAGAGGAAGGGAAAAGGGAGAGAAACATCAATGATGAGAATCATGGCTCGGCTGCCTCCTGCACACCCCCTACTGGGGATCGAGCCCACAACCCGGGCATGTGCCCTTGACAAGAATTGAACCCGGGACCCTTCAGTCCACAGGCTGATGCTCTATCCACTGAGCCACACCGGCCAGGGCCCAGCAGATTTCCTTGTAAAAGTGCGGCTGGCGCTCAGGCAGCTGGGCAGTGGGCAGGCCGGCCCGGAGTCGCATTCCACTGCCCGCACGGCGTCTCCTCCAGCCCCCACCTCCATCTGGTGCGGCCGGGCTTCTCCTCGAAGCGCCGACGGGGGGAGAGGCGCCAGGTGGCTGCCAATGCAATACCCGCTCCGAGACACGCGGCTCGGAGGTGGACGCCCAGACGGGGCCGCGGTATCTTCAGTGACCGTGGGTGCTTGCCGAGTCTCCATTAGAGTTAGACCTTGATTCTAAATCCAAGCAAGCTGAAGCCCCGTGGCTGGCCGTGGCTGCTGAATCCTGCACGCTCCCCGGAGGTCAGAGGTCAGAGGTCAGGATTGGGGGATGGCCCAGGTCCCGTCAGGCGGGGCCACAGTGCCCGTGAGCTCAGCACTTGACCGTGTGCTCACGACGGACAAGGTCCCACCGAGACCCCAGTGCCGTGCAGGCCGCGCAGCGCCCACGGAGGCCGTGCCCACGGAGGCCGGGAAGCTTCCTTTGATTGCAATTAAGGTTCATTTTAGTTTTGTTTTTCTTTCAACCGGTGTGCCATCCCCAACCTTCCTCCCCGGGCGCTCGGCCGACCAGGGCCGTCGCTTTCAAAGACGAGACTGGCGCTGAGTGCGTCCGCTCTGAGATGGGCACTCACCAGGGTTACAGCCCCCACCCCTCGATCGGGTCTTCATGTACCAGGAAGTGACCCCCAGCCCCGTCCTGCCCGCGTGAGGGGCACCCCGCCCGTGTCCCCGAGGCGCTGGGCGGGCTGCTCCTGGCGCCCCCACTTGAAAGAAGAAAACACCCACGTCCCTCCTTCCTTCGCGGGCGGGCGGGCCGGGCTGCGGGCGGCCGGGCTGCGTGTGGCCGGGCTGGCGGGCGGCGCTGACACGCTCAGTAAACTGTCACTGTACCTACCAGGTGCCTCCCGAGGGGGCAGGCCCGGCCAGGAGGGCGCCGTCCCCCACAGCCCGTCTCCACGCGGGGTCTCCTGCGCCGTCTGTGGGTACAGGTGGTCCCGGGAGAGGCCGGGGCGTGTCCTCGAGGAAGAAAAAGGGGCTGCTTTTCAAAGGCAAGCGGCTGCTGCAGAAGCTGGGCGCCGTCAAGTGACTGGGACCACCTCCGACGCGGCTTCGTTCCCGCCGGGGCTCCCGGGGTTCAGCTCGCCCTAACCGCCCCCCCACGCCCCCCCCAGCACCTGGGAGGGCAGCGCCGGCCTCCTGG